AGGAGCGGGCCAGACTCGGCCCCATCCACAACACTGTGGGGGCAGCTACAGGCCAGATGCAAGTCATTTGGTGTGCGCCTGCCAGCGGGCCAGATCCAAACGGTTGGCGGGCCGGTTCCAGCCCACGGGCCGTATTTTCCCCATTCCTGGCTTAATACATAAAGGGGGGGGGGGAAAAATCCCCAAAACTTCTCCAGTGCTGTAAATAGTTTTTTGGGTTTTTGTTTTGTTTTGTTTTTTACTGCTGAACACGTGTTGAATGGATGCTTTCCGATTAGGTAATATAGAAGAGCATTTTTTAAAAGCATTTTATGCTAGATATTGCCATGTTAGGAAGTGACTGTTGCTATCTTGACTGTGTGTCAAAATATCAATACCATCATTGACAGTTATTTCACATGAAAGTTACTAATTATCTTGAAAGGCTTCAGGGGAACGATATTTTTATTAGGGCTGTGCAACGCTTTGGTCGCTGGCTTGATTCAGCAGAGATTTGGCCCAATTCGGTGGCCGAAGCTGAATCAAATCAGGAGACCCTTTAATTTCTCCGAATCGAATCGGAACCCTCTGAATTGATTCGGAGAGATTCGATGATTCGGCCATAAACACAGTTTTAAATGTTGTTTTTTTCTACGTACCTCAAGGTACCGGGGGCTCGTGAACACTAAGATGGTGAGGTGGATGGAGCGTCCCACGGGAGTGCGGTGGGGGTCCCCAGCATGCTCGGCAGCAGACCTGGAATTGGACTAGAAGCACTTCCAGGTCCGTTGTGGAGCATGTGGGGGACCCCCTCCCGGCTCAGCAACTGGTGCCTCCTGGGTCTGGGGGGGACGTGGGGTCCTGCTGCGGCTGATTGCTGAGCAAAGAGGGGCACGAAGGGGGGCTTCCGTACTCTCGGCGGCAGGCCATAAGTGGACTGAAAGTAGTTCTGGGTCCACTGCCGAGCATGCAGGGGGCCTCCCTGCACTCCTGTGGGACGCTCCATCTGCCCTAGCATCGCAGCATTCACAAGTCGCAGCTGGTACCTCGAGATGTATAGAAAAAACAGTTAAAGCTGTATCTATGGCTGAAACGCTGATTCTCTGAATCAGCATCGACTCTTTAGATTTGGATTCGGCCAGATCGAATCAGGACAGTGATCCGAATCAACGAATCGAATCGCTTTTCCCTTTATTGGCCCGAATCCAATTTGAATATGGCCCAGGTTACACACCCCTAATTTTAATGTCAGTTGAAATGGTTCAGTGCCTGCTTAAAGTGAATGCTGTGCAAGGTTGAGTATTAACTTGGTTTTAAGTAGATTGCGCTGTTCTTGGCATTTGAGAATTTGCTGGTGCGAGATACCAAGGTATCTCAAATTCTGCACAAAAAGAAAATTGCACATGCTTTGATTCATCCTTATCTTTAGCAGCATGTAACTTCTCAGCCTCTCTAGCTCAGATCTAGTACTACTCTCCTTTTAATCAAAAAACCTGAACTGACATTTATGACTTCGGATGATTTGTCTTGGATTTTAGCAGAGTTAGTTACGCTGCCTACCCTGGCTTGGGCAGAAATCTTTTTTGGTCAATTTGGCATGCTTCCCATTTTTTACATCAGAATTTACTATTTGTGAAGAAAGAAGAATGCCGTCTGTTGTTAGACTCGGTGGTTGTAGGACAAGGTGCTCATTATGCTCAAAACTGCGATTTAGTCGCAGAACTGTGAACTTTGGAAACACGGGCTCAAATCTGCACAGATGTAGCACTTACCCTCATAGGGCACATCCACACACGCAAGCACGTGCGCTTGTAGCAGCTCAAATAGAAACGGAACAAATTTGAGTCGAGGCTTTTTGCCTCGGCACACGTGCTTGGACATGCACTTTGTTGTGGAGCAAATTGTGCCACTTGGGTTAAAATAACCCTGCCTGGCCATCTGGGCAGCTATCGCCCGAAAGGTGTTCCGGGTGTGGTGGCCTGCTTTGAACTGTCAAAGCTTGTCCTCCTGGCCCCATTTGGACAGGAGGTCAACCACAGCCAGCTGGGTCCAAGGTGCTAGCTTTTGCCCCCCGGCCCCCTTGTGGACAGGGGCCCAGCCACAGCCAGCTGGGTCCAAGGTGCCAGCTCTGAGCAGGCAGGGTCCTGCCACCCGCCTCCCTAGCAGGAACTGTGGTGTTCCCTACTGGAAAACTGAAAAATCCCTTATGGAAAAAAAAATCCCAAAGTCACTCTGTAAAGTACCCCCAAATCCATGTTCCTCCACAAGTGAAACAAAAGACCACTATAAAGAGAGAGCATGAGACAGACAGCGATTGTTTGGGCAATGTTTTATTGATATATCTAGTGTTAAAGCAGTGTGGAAGCAGCCCACCAGTGTCTCTATCATAATAATAAAGTGAACTCTAAATACATGTCACATAAATATATAGTTTGCTACCCCCCC